TTCTTCAGGTTGATGGAGAATATGTTATATATGGTTCTAAATAGCACCAAAAAGGGTTCTTCCATCATGACAACGTCAAGCCTATAATAGTAGAAGAACTATCTTCAAAAAGGTTCTATATAGAACCATATACAACACATTCTCCATGAATCTGAAGAACAATTTCACCCTGCAAAGAACCATTTAAGCATTTAACCCCTTAAATTACATTCAAAGGCTTATTATTCAGTAACTACACGGACTTCAATGCAAATTGGTTGGGCTATTCTTTGGTTATAGAAGTGCGTAATAAAACATTGGGCCTGCTGGTGGTCCCTGGCCATTTCGGGGGTTATGTAGCCATGTTATTAGAGAAGAGAAGATAAAAAGACCCCTTTTTTGCATCAGTGTTAAAGGGTTAACAACAGGAAACATTCATTAGGAGAGATCATTTGAGTCCTTCCAGAGCAGGGACTCCATATCCTAACCTTGAAGCATCTTAGGCCGCTTGTATGACACTGCCTTTGGCCCTCGGGCCTGTACGCTGGCTGTGTGGGCTTCTAAGGGGCCTCAAGGGTCCCTGCAGGAAACGGCACGACCTCCTGGCGTCAGGCAGCAGGCCGTCGCACAAAACCTCGCATACACACAAACACACATACCCGCTCTGCCTTAATGTCATTACGGAGCTGCGTTCGTGCCGGCCTGCCTTCTGACGGAGATGCGGACCAGCACGCACACATGAATGCAGGGAGTCCATTAAGCCAGAGCCCCAGATGGCCCCAGCCTGCATGCATCCTGGACCCCCTTCCCCAACACACTTTTAATGCTACTGACTCTGTATGAACCCTCTGGCAGGGGGTGGGGGGGTAAAGCGCAGGCCAAACAGAAGCGTGTCTCTGTCTCCGCGTCTGCAGGCGAACAGAGGATTCCTCTCAAAGCGGCCTGACGTCCACGAAAGCCAGGCTTAGCGCTAACAAGGTTAAACCCGGCTGAAAAAGAGTGACTTTTTCAATCAGCCAGATTTGTGTTTCTGCCTGCGCCGTAATTAGCTTTTCCGCAGGGTGGGGGTCGTGGTGGTGGTGGTGGGGGTCGCAGGGAGAAAGGAGGAAAGGAGAAGAGAGAAGAGGCAGAAAGGCAGGAGGAGGAGACGCAGGGGCGAGAGAGAAAGAGTGAGAGAGAGAGATGACAGTGGGGAGCATTGTAGCGCCGCCGGGTTTGGGAGGAGTAAATCTGATTAGCCGCTCGTGTCAGAAGCCGGCCCTCAGATGCAGCTTAGCATTCATGGCAACTTTCTACTTTCTGCCCCGCCAGACAATGAGGCCAATTTTTCCCCCCCTGTGCGGCCTCTCTCTCTCTCTCTCTCTCTCTCTTTCTCTCTCTTTCTCTCATCCAGCGCTCATCCCAGGACGACGCTCCCAGGAACAGTGCCCGTAGTGGACGCTACAGTACAACAGAGTTTGTTATAAATCCATCAGGGCCTCTGTACTGGACAATGCAGCATTTGGCTCTCACTGGACATTCACTTGCCTCCACATCAGACGCTGCTGCAGCTGGCATTTAGAAGAGACTAATGCAGGCCTACAGTACTCAACCAAACTGTATCATAACTCACACTGCGAGCAGTACTGTTTGTCCGCCTTGCTGGTGTGTTTGCCCACCTGTACGTTATAGTTTCGGTGGACCGTACCAAGCGCCCTATTGGCTCCCCGGCCCTAAGCAATGTCCTCAAAGCACCCCGCCGCCTCCTTGGGGACGGTCACTGTGGAGACGGCAAAGTATGACGAGAACTAGGTGGGTCAAAAGGCTCTTGTGACAGACTAGAGTTAGTCAGGCCTGCTAAAGATCACGATGAGCTTGAGTTTGGCGGCCAGGGTCACCAGCAGACGGTCAGTGGGGTGATTCAGAGGACAGATTCAGCCACAGAAGAGTGTTTGGCTGTATGTGTTTGTGTTCACTGTGTATGTGTGTGGCATTTCGAGGATGTAAAAGAGCTGTAAGGAGCTGGGAGAATCTTTGTCCTTCTCTTTGCTGTTTGTTTAACCAGAGGCCAAGACAGGAAGCCAGCCCACACAACTCCGTAGTAGCCATGACAACCGCTCTGTTGACTGTTTCACATTTAGCCTCCAGCTCTTTCTGGAGGAAGAGACTGACAAGGACAGGGGCAGTTTGTCTGTCTGTCTGTATATTTAGCCCCTTCAACTCTAAGCTTATTATTTGGGTATTAATCTTAATAATTATTACTTAGGCCCAATCTCATTTCTTATTTTTACCCCTACCCCTTGTTTTCGAATGTCACCTTGCCCCTTGGAACCACGTTACAAGGGGTAGTGGTTGAAATCTTCCCTCTGAAATGGGACCCTCAAATAAAAAGAGCATCACTTCATTAACAGCTACTAGCGCTGCTCTGTAGGTGACCCTGCCAGTCTGCAGTGACAGCAGAGGAGGGTAAAGTTCAGCTCCTCACTGCTGGGCTTTAGTTACATTTAGGACATCATATGCCTTCAAAGAGGGGGGCAATTATTTATTATCGCCCACCACTAATTGTTCAGTGATATGAAGCTGAAGTCAGATATTCACCAGATTCTTTTTCAAATATTCCTGTCCCACATTAAATGGTGCAGCAGCTACATTCTGGGACTTCAGGCATCAGAACTGCTGGACTATTTAAGGTGGAACAGGAAATTTAGTTAGCTGGCTACCAAGACATTAGCATATTATTAGCGAGTTTTGGCTTGTTATGAAGAAAAGGACCATAATACATTGAAATGACACCAAACTAAGATAATACGATGGTTATTGACATTTTTAACGGAGAAAATTCTCACATTTGTGTGTTTCTTTGGTCTCTTGTTCAGCCATCTTGCCGGTTTTTCTTTTTTTCTCATATCTCTCTGTTTGGTGCCTCTGAAAAATCTCCGTTTGGAGGGTCATGTAGCCCTAACACTTTGCCCTACCTCTCTATCTCAACAAAAATCGGGACACCCTACCACGAGGCGTAAATGTGCAAAACGGAGGCTGAGGGCTAAGTGATAGGGGCGAGGGGTGAAATGGGACTGGGCCTTAGTAACTGCTATAAATAAGGGTTGCCAGATTTCGGAAGTGGCAAAATCAGATTGGTGGAACTTTACTCCCATATTTTTTGTGTTTTAGAACAGTTTGATTATGTTATTGGTTTATTATGTCTGCTTTTACAATGTTCTTCATATTGTCTTCATATAGGCTGAGTCTCAATCTTCATACTACTATACTCAATAGTATGATCAAAACAGCACTAGCAGTAATGTTGGTCTACTTTGACACTGTTTAGTAGAGTGTATGAGGTTTGAGACGTAGTCACAACACACACCCACCTTGCAACTGAAAACAAACCTGATCGCTATGACCAGTGTTATTTACACTAGAACAGGGTTTCTCAACCACTGGGCCAAGGACCATACATGGGCCCTGAAGCACCCCTTGGTGGTCCTTGGACCTATACTAAAGGGTCCAGTGGCCCATACTGGGCCTGTGATGGCACTTTGTCATATTAATCCGTGAAAAAATAATTGACTTCACAATAAATAAAGAACTATAACATGTTTTCACACAGTTAACAGCATCAGTCCCACAATAACAGAGCGCAAAGGAAACTTTGTCAGTTTTTTGCCCTTGGCATCTAGAAACACCTGACCTTTGAGGTGTCCACTTGCACTAATATTCTGCTGGTATTTTATGTTCAAAGTTGAGTGTTGTTTTCTTGTGGGTCTTCATGCTTTCTAGTGATAAACAGGTGGGCCTTGAGGTGGAAAAGCCTGAGAACCTCTGCACTAGATTATGCGCACACATGTGAGAGAGACTGCAGCCCAGTCCCAAAAGGCACACTAGGGATTATCGTCCACAACTGACCATACATGGTAGGACTGCAAGACTGTGGGTGTCCCATTTCTCATTTTGGAGATCAAAGGGGCACTCAATAGTGCCCTCTAGGAGCCCTTACTTTGGCCTTCAGACTCATTAGTGGTCTATTATCCAGAGTTCCTTGAGAGGACCAATCAGAGTGGACGGCTTTGTGTCATAAGGCAAAAAATCTTAAATTAAGCTTCCAACAATCTCAACAGGAGAAATATTAGATTTACTGGCTACATTTAAGATAATCTTTTTTTAATTCGACGAGATACCATGCAGTATACACAACGTGAAAGTAATCACTGTTAAAGTCCCAGAAAAAACAGTAAAATATTAAAAATATTTGTATGATTCTAAACTTGAGTGTTATGTTAAACATCCAGCGAAGGTTGTATGAAAAATATACGTAGCAAATATGATAAAACACGGCTTAAAAGCCGCCAATCAGACCTATCCGTGAACTGTGTGGGCGTGGCTAATGAGTAATTTGATTGACAGCTCTCTGTCCAACACTTCTAGCTCCACCCCTCACACAGAACTAAAATCATTATCCAGATTTTACGTGGACGGAAAAATTCACGAACCATCAGAAGTGCAGGCGGATGGACGGATGAGAAAACACATGGATGAAGCAACATGGAAAGAAATGGATGAACAGGTTGAACAAATGGACGGACAAACAATGTTAGTGCTGGATAAACGAGTGAATGGGCGACAGGCAGCTACAGTCAGGTGGTCTAGCTTGCTAGCTTTTGGTTATGCTGGGTTACCTTTAGCTCGCTAAGCTTCTCTGACTCTGAAACTGTTTTGTGTGGGCGGGGCAAGAGACGCAGCCCTGTGATTGGTCAGCAGAATCCTTACAGATTTGTTACCCAAGATTAGGACCGCCGGTTTACATCGAGAAAAGAGAAATATGGTGAAATATAACAGTCATTTAATGGTCAGTGCAACATTAATCAAAGGTTATACTTAGAACATGTTCACTGTTTGCCTGAAAGAACAAGAACCTCATTAGAAAGAACACACAGATTTAGGTTCCCTGGGTCTTTAAGTCTAAACAAACCCAGAAGATCTGAGAACGTTTTCTATGTGGAAAGTCAAGATTATCACACGGCCGCTGTTGTTAGTGTTCTTACCGTATGATGGTGGGTTCCTCTGTTCCATAGCACAGCTCTGCTGACAAAGGAGAAGTAACAGGAAGGTGCCTATTGAACACAAAGCAGTCCAAAGTTAGACTAACTACACACTGCAAAAGACAGACATATCTTATTAATTATTAATTATAAGAAAATGATGGGCTCCATACAAGTACAACCCCATTTTCAAAAAGGTTGGGACACTGCAAAATGTAAATAAAAACAAGATACAATGATGTGCAAATCATTTAAACCCTATATTTCATCGAAAATAGTACAAAGACAACAAATCAAATGTTGAAACTGAGCAATTTTATTGTTTTTTGACAAATTTATACACATTTTGAATTTAATGCCAAACAACACGCTCCAAAAAAGTTGGGGTGGGGGCAACAAAAGGCTGGCAAACAGTCAGTAACATGATTGGGTAAAATGAGAGGATCCTAGAAAGGCTAAGTGTTTCAGAAGTAAAGATGAGGAGGGGTTCACCACTCTGTGAAAGACTGCACGATCAAATAGTGCAACAATTCAAGAATAACATTTCTAAACATAAAATAGCAAAGAACTTCTGCTTTTTATCATCTACGGTACATAATATCATTAAAAGATTCAGAGAATCTGGAGAAATCTCTGTATTCAAGGGACAAGGCCAAAAACCAGTATTTGCTGGCCGTGATCTTTGGGCCCTCAGGTGGCACTGCATTAAAAACAGACACAATTCTGTAGAGGAATCACTGCATGGGCTCAGAAACACTTCTGAAAACCACTGTCTGTGAAAACAGTTCATCACTGCATCAACAAATGCAAGTTAAAACTCTAAAATGCAAAGAAGAAACCAAATATAAACAGAATCCAGAAATGCTGACACCTTCTCTGGGCCTGAGCTCATTTAAAATGAATCGAGGGGAAGTGGAAAAGTGTCCTGTGGTCCAATGAATCAACATTTGAAATTCTTTTTGGAAATCATGGACACTGTGTCCTCCGGGCTAAAGACCACTCGGCTCGTTATCAGTGCACAGTTCAAAAGCCAGTATTCATGATGGTATAGGGGGGCATTAGTGCACATGGCGTGGGTGACGTGCACATGTTGAATGATATATACATGTTTTGGCAACATATGCTGCCATCCAGACGACGTCTTTTTCAGGGAAGGCCTTGATTATTTCAGCAAGACAACGTCAAACCACATTCTGCATGTATTACAACAGCATTGCTCCATATTATAAGAGTCCAGGCACTAAACTGACCTGCATGCAGTCCATCGGGTGCATTGTGAAATGAAAAATATGACAAATGAGACCTTGAACTGTTGAGCAGCTGAAATCCTGTATCAAACAAGATTAGGAAAACATTTCACTTTCAAATCTACAGCAGTGTCTCCTCAATTTGCAAACGCTTACAGAGTGTTGTTAAAAGAAGAGGTGATGAAACACAGTGGCAAACATGCCCCCGTCCCAACTTTTTTGGAATGTGTTGCTGGCATTAATTTCAAAATGGGCATATATTTTTCAAAAAACAATAAAATTTCTCAGTTTTAACATTTGATATGTTGTCTTTGTACCATTTCCAATGAAATATAGGGTTTAAATCATTTCCACATCATTGCATTTTGTTTTTATCTACATTTTGCACAGCGTCCCAATGTTTTTGGAAATGGGGTTGTACACACCATCTGTTAAAAGTTGGGGGACACTTAGCTTTTTAAAAATACTTTCAAAACAAATGATCATATCAAAGACTGACCAGCTTTATTTTGAGAAAAATAATATCAACATGAATCATAGCAATATTACACAAATAATACACACTGGAGAACTGTGGGGTGTCCCATTTCTCATTTCGGCAATCAATGGGGTGCTCACTGGTGCCCTCTAGGAGACTTTATTGAGGCCTTTGGATTCAGTAGTGGTCTATTACCCAGAGTTCCTTGAGAGGACCAGTCACAGTGTATGGCTTTGTTTACAGCTGTCTGGCCAACATGGTATAGAGGAAGATGTGAGTAAAAGATGTGAGTAAAAATGTTTATTGTAAATATTTGTGACAGTAGTGCGTCGGGAATAATGGCCCCTCACGCTTTATCCCCTCGTGGTGATTTCAGCTCTAATCAGCTCTTAAACCTCTCAGCTGTTTTAATTGTCTTTGGGCCAAAAGAGTTTCAACATGTGCTTTTAACCATACTTTGGAAATTAAAACTGACCCATTATTATTTAAAGGGCTTATATTTCCTCTTTTTAATGCAGTGTAGTATATAAACACTGTCATATTTTCAAAATGTATCATTACCTCCCCAGCCAATACAGTAAATATGAAAACTAAGCTGCCTATTTTGAATTCAGTTTCTTTGATGTCACAGAAAACCACCCATTAACATATATCTGCCAATTTAGCCTACAGCATTTTAGCCCCGCCCACTCACACTGAAGTTATAAGGAGTGTTTCAGCTTTTTAAATGAAGCGCAATACAGAATGGCCAATCAGAACAGAGCTCATTTACATATCAGTCTTAAAGGCACAGTAACAAAAACAGCCTGTTTAATTCTAAGGGATAAAGTATGTTGCCGTTTTAAGGCCACTGTTAAAAAAATATACATAGCCTTTGAGAATAAAGTCATATTTTGCAGAATAAAATTGTAGTATTTTGAGAATAAAGTCATTGTATTTTGAGAAAAGTCTTAGAATTACAACAATAAAGTGGCATTTTACCAGGAAAATATTATGGCCAAAGGTTTTGCAAAAGGAAGGTAGCAGCTATCATATCAGTCTCACCCATAAAGAAATACTCAGTCTCAGCACATCAGCACCAGAACGTTATTAGTATAAGAAACAGCTGAAACGGCTGAGTAAAAAACTGTGTTTATTTAGAAGAAAGAACCAGACGGACTCGGAGGAAGTCGTCTGTTTTGTTGAAGGAGAATCGCAGGCAGTGCTTGTCTACACTGCTATCGGTGGTTACATCTCTGTGCCGTTTGAAGAGGGCATGTAGTTTCACAGGAGGCAATGAGAATGATGATCAGAATGATCGATCCGTAAGGAGTGGAACTCAGGCATACTTGGCGTCTTTGTCGTCGCCACTACAGCAACCGAGACCCCAATATGTTATGACAGCCCCCCTAAATAGCCCACTTTATTCCCCAAATATTGCAAGTTTATTCTTGTAACTTCATGACTTTATTCTCGAAATATTATGATTTTATTCTATATAAAAAATTTGACTTTATTCTCAAAATATTATAACTTTATTCTCGAAGTCTATTATTTTTATTTTTTTAACAGTGACCCTAAAACGCCATCGTAGTAAAGAGAGGTTAATGTAAAAGTGAGTTATGGCTATGTTTGTTATCAAGGAAGAAGATACAGGATTTACTAAGGATAAAAATACAAGAATAATGTAAAACATGACCCTTTATGCAAAATCTACCCCTCGTACAAAGGAAGAACTCGTGTGAATATGAAGATGCAACTTGCAAAAATGCCCCAAAGAATTAGTTCTATATTAAACAAAATCTTTTTCAATTAAAAACTAACAGTAAGTCAAATGAAAAAGAAGGCAAGCCACACATACACACACATAGCACACACACATCATAGACCTCCTTCTCAGTACATCAATTACCCCTCTGTCTCTCTCTGTGTGCCCTGAGTTGAATCTCAATAGTGGACACTGTCCACCTCACTGGCCAAGCCGCCCTGTTCATCATTCTCCCATCAGCTCCCTCTGACCCTCTTAGCATACGCTATAGACCTCTGGAGGACTCCTGCATATGTTTTGTCCTCTCTCTGTCACCCTTCTTCCTCCTTTCACTCTCCCTTTCTCACAGCTCTGACCTGTGGCCCCCTGGCCCAAGCAGAGGATCATCCATCACATCCTTCGACGACATCCTTCCTTCTTTCTCTCTCTTTCCATCTCTCTCTCTCTTTCTCTCTCACGTGTGCGCTCTCTGTCCTCGTCCTTTTCTCCTCACGTTAAGCTCCGAATCAGCGCCATATTCATACAGAGGTTATGAAGATGGACTGTGGGGAGCTACTGAAGAACATCCTCTGGTTCTGTGATTAAAGGGGAGAGTGGAGAACAGCCTAACACCTTTTGGCTCGGACAAGATTAAAATATGTTTTTAATTCAAGTACCCGAAACATACAGTCCTCTCTACAAATATTGGCACCCCTGGGAAAAATGAGCAAAAAGGGTTAAAAGAAATTTAACTTTTGGTGAATTAGTTTAAATCATACTGAAAATAAATGAGAAAAATCCAGCCTTTAATTGAAGCAAATTTATATATTGGCATACATATTAAATATTGGCACCCCCCTACATTTAAGACTTTGGACAAGCTCCCTTTGCCAATAAAACAGCTCTTAGGCCCAATCCCATTTCACCCCTCGCCCCCACCACTCAGCCCTTAGCCCTCCCGTTTAGTCCTTAGCACGTCAAGGGTGTCCCGATTTTTGCTGAGATAGAGGGGTAGGGCGAAGTGTTAGGGCTACATCACCCTCCAAACTGTGTTTTCTCAGAGACTCACTCCACTCGGTTCTGTGTATTATGGTCCTTTTCTTTATAACAAGCATAATAAAGCGTGAGAAGTAGCTGATGTCTTGGTAGCTAGCTAGTTAAATTACCCATTCCACCTTAAATGGTCCAGCAGCCTGAAGCGTCAGAATGTAAACGCTGCACCATTTAAGGTGGAACGGGAAAATTTGAACAAGAAGCTGGCGAATATCTGACTTCAGCTTCATATCACTGAAGGATTAGGGGTGGGCGATAATAAATAATTGCCCCCCTCTTTGAAGGCATATGACTCCCTAAATGTAACTAAAGCCCAGCAGTGAGGAGCTGAACTTTACTCTCACTATCTACTATCTGTCACTGCAGACTGGCAGGGTCGCCTACAGAGCAGCGCTGGTAGCTGTAAATGAAGTGATGCTTGAGGGTCCCATTTTATAGAGAAGATTTCAACCACTACCCCTTGTAACTCAGATCCAAGGGGCAAGGTGACTCTCAAACAGGGGTAGGGGTAAAAATAAGAAATGGGATTGGGCCTTGTTCTTCTCCTACAAGGTTCAAGAATACAGAG